CAGCCTGCCCTGGCCCCCTGTCTCCGCCTTGTCTGATGGATTCCTCAGAAGTCAGGGCACAGCCCGGGCTGCACAGCATGTCACCCGCTCTGCCCTCAGCACTTCTGCTCAGAGTTCCAACGTCTCCTCGCAGTGCAGCTGTGTCCATCGAGCAGGCCCCTGGCCCTGTCCCGGGTGGCGTGGGCCCCTGTCCCTTGCTCTACAAGCAGACACCGCCCCTTCTTCAGTGCGCACTGTGGTCTCACCTCAACTTCGGCCGGACAACGCTTTCGGTCAAGCACTGTCGAGCATCACACCCCACGATCGGCACGGGGACCCCCGTCCCCACGACCCAGCCGCCCGTCCCTGTGCTCTGGGCTCAAGTGCTCAGGGTGCAGAAGTGGAAAGAGCGTTAATTAAGCACCGGAGTGACGGTCGCCACGGCGCTCAGGAGGGAGGCCAGGGCGTGCACGGGAACGGGGGCCATCGCGAGGAAGGTTGCTGGCAAGGACGCCCCTGACGAGTGTCTCGGAAGAAACTCAAGCCCGGGTCTCACGGGCCCGCCTTCCACCTGCGCCCCGCGGGCTCAGGGGCGCTGTGCGCGTGTGGCCTTCCCGCTGCAAAGCAGCCCTGTCTGTCCCTGCTGTGGCAGACACTCTCTGTGCTGGGCATGCGGGCATCTGGGCCTCTGCCATGCCTGAGGCCTCGGCGGCCACACGCAGCAGGTGGGCGGGTGGGCAGGAGGTGCATCCTCGTTGAGCACATCCCACCCGTGTGCCAACTCGTCACGGCAGGCTGGTGAGTCCGCGGGCTCCACAGACCTCATGACTCATGGGCTGCATAGGCCCCCGCTTGCCCTCACGGTGATTCCTGGAGGAAGTTATCAGAGCTCTTATTTCTCAGGTGAGGAATCTGAGGGTCAGAGACGATATAGGTCTTACTCAAGGTCACCTGGTGGCTCAGGGACAGAGCAGGCGTCCGGCTGGGGCTGGGATGTGTCCTGGAGAGGCACCTTTCAGAGTTGCTGCATTCGAGGCTGCCGGGTGAGCAGACCGAACCAGGTGGCGGTCCGCTCCAACCTGAGCACAGAGTCAAGCCTTCTTGTATATGCGCAAAATTAACACTGTTTTTAACGCAGAACAGAAAGGAAACAGGCTCGTGGTTAGGAGGCTGAGTTTGCAGCCACTCGCTGGCTGTGTGAGCACAGGGAAGTCACTGAACCACCGTTAAGCCAAAGATTCCGCGGCTGTGACACGGGATGGTGGCCGTGCTGTCTTCCCAGGTTTTCACGCGGGATTCGACCGCTCCTTCCCGTCAGCGGTGGGATGGGAGAAACCCTCGGCGCAAGTCACACGCTCCTGTCCTCGTTAGTGGGTGAGCCGGGCCTGGCGTCCATTAGGAGGGGGTCGGAGGCCTGGCCAGCTAGAATTCTGCACCCCCCGGGGTCGCAGCAGGAGGACTGCCACCATCCCAAACGTCACTCCCGCTTCCTTCATCTCTGGGGACAAAGAGGGAAACTCACAGCGAGGTAAAGGGTCACCGTCACCTCTCCGTAATCCCGTGGCAACCTGACTTCAGCTCTGGATGACCAGCTCCAGTAAACCTTAAAACAGTGGTACCAAGCAGTGTCTAATCTTACATGGAAACCAGGATTCTACGTTGAGCTCTGGAAGACCAGCTCCAGTAAACCTTAAAACAGTGGTGTCTAATCTTACATGGAAACCAGGATTCTACGTGACCGCATGGCGTTCCCCCAGAAGGAGAAAAGGAGGTGCAGGCCACTCATCAGAATCCGAGTGTGGCCACCACGAGGCAGGGTGTCCAGAAAGTCAGTGCGACACATGGTCTGGGTCCACCGCTGGCGTCAGGTCACACTGCAGCGGCCGGCGATGGCTCCAGCTACTGGGGAGGACCTTCCTGTGGAGTCCATGTAAACGTTTGTCACAGGGAGGACCTTCCTGCGGAGTCCGTGTAAACGTTTGTCACAGGGAGGACTTTCCTGCAGAATCTGTGTAAACCTTCGTCACAGGGAGGACCTTCCTACGGAGTCCGTGTAAACGTTTGTCACAGGGAGGACCTTCCTGCAGAGTCCGTGTAAACGTGTGTCACAGGATGAGCTTCCTGGCAGCCCCCGTGCCTCCCGCCCCTTCTCTCCCTGGGCCCTCAATCTGCTGAAATGGTCAATATGTTTAAGATCCTCTTTGGGAAACAGAACAAATCAATATGGTATTTTGCTGCCGAGAAGCCTGCGGCCTGCGGGGCGTCCCCACTCACGTGGCTCAGCTTCTCCTCTGAACCAACATTCCAGACCACACATGTTGCAGGGAAATTTTCTTCCCAATCTTTCCTCCTTTCCTCCCTCCCTCCTTTCCTGTCTGTCCTTTTCTCCTTCCTTCCTTCCTTCCTTCCTTCCTTCCTTCCTTCCTTCCTTCCTTCCTTCCTTCCTTCTTCTTCTTTCTTCCTTCCTTCTGCTTTCTTTCTTCCCTTCCCCCTTCCTTCCTTCCTTCCTTCCTTTTTTTTTGAAAGAGAATGTCTGGAAATGAAACCATCTTCAAAGTTTACCTTCTCATTATTAAAAAGAGGAACCAGGACTCCCCAGGGCCCCCTCCAGCCACCTTCGGAAGTCTAAGCACCAGCGAATAAAACCTCCCAGAAAACGACACTAAGTCGATTAAGCCGCCACGTCGCTGTGATTGATGCCAAATACTTGGGGCGCGGCGATCACGCCAGTGCAATTTCGTGTAAATGCCTCGAAGAAAAGATTCCTTTCGATGGATTTGCTGAAGCGAAAGCTTAACTCGGATTGCAAAGCAAGGAGCTTTGTGTTTTATTAGGAAGATACTAGAAAGATATTTTAAATCTCCTGCTTGTGGGTTTTTTAAGGAGCTTAGTCCTGGAGCGTGTTCGTTCCTGCAGCCGGGACTCTGGTACCTTTCCCTCTGGGGCCTTTGGGGTGTCGCAGTGCTGGCTTTCCTGGAAGTCGGGGCCTGCCACTCACAGCTGTTTGTGCACAGGAGAGTGTAACCACAGCTGGCAGTGGCCAGTGCTTCTTCCGCCATCATGGGAGGCCAAGGACAATGTGACAATAAAACGTCAAGGTCCATTCCCCTGGGGCCCAGAAGGCGACGGGGAACCGCTGGGACCCTGGCTGGTCTGAGCAGTGGCAGCCACGTTGGAATAAACGTGGGGCTCCTAGGCGAGCACACGGGGCGGGACAGCCTGGACACGTGTCCAGGTGCCAGCCCGTCTGCTGGAAAGCAGGCTGCACAGAAATCAGGAGGGTGGTGGCCTCAGGAAGAGGACATAAAGTGGGGATGAGCTGGCTGCAAAGGGGCTCAGGGAACCTTCTGAGGTGAGGGAGCACTGTGTCTTGAAGGGGCCACACAGGACCTGCGTCTCTGCAGCTCATCAAATGGTGTCCTTGTAATTGCGTGTTTTATTGTAGGCTATTTATATCTCAAGTAAAAAAATTGGAAGCCAGGTCATAGAGCTATGTTTTCAGTGACATGGTGATGGGAAGTGATACTCAGCTTACACAACTTTCTGCTTTATAGTTTGAGGTTCGTCGAGCCCCTGTGATGTAGAATCCCAGAGTGAGGTGAGCCTGGAGCTGGGGAGAATCGGTGTCCTGGGCTTGAGGATGCCCGAGCAGCCCGACCTGCAGGGCCCGGCCTCCCGTGGTGGGCTCCTCCTGTGAGCATGAGGCCTCAGGGGACCGGCTGGGAAGCGTGTGAGCCCAGGGGTGCTCGGCACTCTGACTTGCATCTGGACTTTTAGAAAGGGAACCGTCCTTTCTAAAGGACTGTGACATTGAATAGTGGCATTGCCCCCGTAATCTCCCTTAGCCTTGTGTGCACGTGGGCAGATGACCACCTCACTGCGCCCCATTCGTGAAATGTCATAATGGCACTCAGCTCAGCATGAGGCCAGGAGGGGGCGGGGGGTACAGGCTAGTGCCCCCAGAATTCACGTGGGAGCCTCGATTCCCATGGCGACGGTGTCTAGAGTGGGAGCCTTTGGGAGGTGGGGCTGGCGCCCTTCTGTGTGGGTGCAGAGGCCAGAGTGTGCTCTCTGTTGCCAGCTGCGTGAGCACACGGGGAAGAGGTGGCCGTCTGCAGGCCAGGAAGACACTCAGTCTGCGGTGTCTGTCACAGCTGCCTGAGCCAGTCGACTAGGACGGAGGGTCAAATGAGGGGATAGATAGCGCGGTGCTTAGCACGGTGCCGGGCACCGCACGGCCATCAATACGTGGTGGTCACAGTGTCATTAGCGTGGAGGCGGAGCATGGATGTCGAGGAAAAGGGCTTCTCGCTCAGATTTCTAATTACTCGATAATGCACACGGCCGTGGCCAGTGGCGCCAAATAAAAGCCGGGGGTAGAGCACGTCCAACGAGGCGGATGGACTCGGGACAGCGCGGCACTCGGACGGCTCCTTCTAGAAGCTTCGACCCGTTATTCCTTTTCTGAGTTTCCCCTCCCCTGTCAGGGTAGGGGTCACACACCTGTGCATATTCTGAGTGTTCCCAGAAGTCACCTCCCGGTACAACACGCCTCCCAGTCCCAGCCCCCTGCCCTTTGGGGGCAGCGTGGGTCCTGGAAAGCCCCGCACACCTGGCCACCAGGTGAACGCTCAACACGTCAGTGTCCGGCTGACAGCCTGACGCTCCTTGGAGCGCCAATAGTATCTTTTTAATTTAGCAGACCCTTAAGAAACTGGAGTTTCATTTGTGGTTAAAGACGAAGGAACAGACCCCGCCCACCGACCGCAGACCCCCGCCCACCCCCCGCGGACTCCGCCCACTGACCGCGGA